TTGCTCAAAACTTCTTGATTCTTTTTCACCTTGACGGAGAGTCGGAACAGCTTCAGAAGCACTTGAAGCAGCGGCCGTGCTCGGCTGACGTTCTGTATGGCGGCCAAGCGATTCACCATTACCTGAAGGCCGCCGCAGTCCGCCAATACGTTGGCCATCTTATAGACCTCTTCGTTGTTCACCTCTTGCTCGCTGTTGGCGTTCAAACTCTCGACAAACTCCTCGGTCGCGTCTCCGAGCAGTCCCCGCATGCGGTAGACGACGCGCATCGCGTCGCACTCTCCACCTTCCGACACCCAGATTTTCTTGTACACCTCCTTCACCGGCAAATCCAGGCTGATGATCTTGTTGTTGACCAATAGCTCCATCCCGTTGTCGTCCTCGAGCAGCGCGATCAACTCGCAGTCCAGGCAGATCTTGTTCTTCACGTCTCTCATGAGGGGGCCGAGGCCCGGCTCCAGGCTGCTGTAAGGATTCCCCAGCATTCTACCTTGCAGGAAATCTTCCTGCTGCGAGTCCTTCTCCAGCGTCAGGTAAAACTCGCCGACGTCGTTCTCCTCCGGGTAGATGATGGAGCAGAGCCTCTCGAAGATGAACACCGGCGTGCGCACGTCCTCGACGCTGTACCTTTGCACCGTCTCCACGCAGATGGCCATGAATGCTTTCGTCTCCTCCTCGGTGCCGGTGGTCATCTCCTCAAGCAGTTCCAACAGCTTCTTCTGCGTGTCGTCGATCAATCTGGTCCGTTGGACGACCAGCCTCCTCAGCGAGAGATAACCGTTCAGCACAGCGCCCACCAAACGGCTCTTGTACTGTTGCTTGATGTTCTCCTGCTCGAGGAACGTGGCCATCAGTTCGGTGAGCATTTTCAGCGAGTAGCCCTGCGCCAGATCGCTGGTCAGCGTCGTCTCCTCCAGCCGGTGAAGCTCCTCGATCTCTCTGGTCAGCAGGTCCGCCAGCAAGGTCATGACGCCTCGTACCGCAAGGAATTGCTTCCACGGCGGCTGCCTGATCAAACTTTGATACAGCGTGAGAAACTCGGTGCTGCTCTCGCCGGCTGCGCGCAATTCCTCCAAGTAACAGGTGAGCAACACCAGCACCTCCTTCTTTCGTTCCGTCCCCTGGCACAGCGACTCTATCATGTTGCAAGCGACTTGTCGCGCCAGCCGCGAACTCGGGTTGAACAACACCTCCTTCAACCAGGCGCCGTCGGCCAATTTCAACGGTTGTTGTTGCACGCCTTGCACGCCTCCCCTCCCCAGGCACCGATTGTACCATCTGTGGCCGTACTTTTCCATCAGATAGAGCGCTCGCACCTCTTCCTTCTTCGCCAGCAACGACGGTCTGCCGTTGTTGCCCAACGCTTGTTGTTGTTGTTGTTGTTGTTGTTGTTG